GCTTTTCTGCAAAGCCGAGCTGATTTTTAAAGCCTGTCACGATCTGAATATCACACGATTTTGTAAATGATGACGTAACCGTTTGCAGTTTTATGTCTGCGATTCAATGACTGCTTATCCATGGGTGACACATTTTTCATAATATTTTTGGTTGAAATTTCAAAGGTCAGCTTCTATCTGCAGATGGGCTTATCCATGATTATCCATGGTATCTTGCACACGTTTCTCAATAGTGGAACTCAAGCCGCTTTCCTATACCAGTGTTGTGGTCCGCTGGCGGCCTCCGGAGCTGGCAGCAGAGTCGAATGGTGAGGAGGTTGGGGAGGAACATGGGCCAGTCCTGGAGTCTGGGGAAGGCTCAGATGAGGGCTCTGCATCAGAGGCAGAGAGGGGCCAGGGCCATTTAGGAGTTATGTGTGGACTCCAGAGCCTCCAGATTCAGACATCAGTGAGGCAGAGGAACAGGGGGAGCCTATTCTAGTGCGCGCATGCGCAGAGCTGCAAGAAGGCAAGAACAGTTAAAACAAAAGGGCCGACTCGGGAGTAGAGCTTGGAGATTATTGGCCCCTCCCACAAGACATAAAGGAGGAGCAAAGGCACGTGAACCTTTGCAGGAAGCAATGTTGTTCATTCTGGCTGGTTTAAATTCTGCAGCTCCGTTTTGACTCTGTGTTCCGTGTGGCCTTGCAAAGCTAATTGCCAGTTAGGTCTTTGGCAGCATGTCAAGGGAGATAAAGGTGGGTGCTTATCAGCCTTATCCCGAAAGGACTGGGACAGACTTCTGTCGGACTCTTTACAACTATTTGTGACTCGTCTGTGAATGAACAGAATGAGAATGAACAGTCTGTGAATGAACAGAATTCACAGCCCTTGAAATAAAAAGAGGATTTTGGGGACTAATTGTGTGCTTTTTACTGTCTCAGGAAGCCTGTGTCAGACCAATTTTACCTGGCAGTAACCTCTGTATTTATTTTATTTATTTATTTGTTTTAATTTGTATCCGCCCTTCTCCAGCAGGACTTAGGGTGGTGAACAGCCAGAATAAAACAGTCGTTTCTGTGTCGTTTCTGTGTCGTTTATGTTTATTTATTTTTAATTTTTATTTTATTTTGAATTTGTATACCGCCCTTCTCCCTGAGGACTCAGGGCGGTGAACAGCCAAGTAAAAACATCAAATACAAATATTAAAATACAGTTAAAATATATATATAAATTTGGCCCCATTAATTAAAAACGATAAACAAAACAATTAAAAACACTTAAAAAAAAATTAGGCCAGCCCGGCTTGCTGGAAAAAGAAGGTTTTAAGGGCACGGCGGAAGGCACCGAGGTCTTGGATTCTCCTTATCTCTGGGGACAGCTGATTCCAGAGGGTAGGTGCCCCCACAGAGAAGGCCCTCCCCCTGGGGGTCACCAGCCTGCACTGTTTGGCTGATGGCACCCTGAGGAGGCCCTCTCTGTGGGAGCGCACGGGTCGATGGGAGGTCGTCGGTGGCAGCAGGCAGTCTCGAAGATAGCTAGGCCCTATGCCATGGAGCACTTTAAAGGTGATAACCAACACCTTTCATATGTTCATATAAATATGCACAGGACTGCTGTGTCTAACAATTTCTAATATTAAAAGTTTCATACCCATTGTTTCAAAATAATTATGAGGTGTTGTGGCGAGAGGTGCAGAAAGATATGGAGACCTGGAAAAAACTGCAACTGTCTCTACTTGGAAGAATAGCAGCAGTTAAGATGAACATTTTGCCAAGATTTCTTTTTTTGTTTCAAATGATTCCGGTGCTTAAAAGTGATAAACAATTGAAAGTGTGGCAAGCTGGAGTGAATAAGTTTGTCTGGAACGAGAAAAAGCCGAGAGTGAAATTGAAAATTATGCAAGATGTTCCAGAAAGGGGAGGTCTTAAACTACCAAACCTACAGCTATATTATGATGCAGCAGCTTTGACTCTAACAAGTGATTGGTTTGGAAGGAAAAAGACTGGAATATTGAATGTAGAAAGTTTTGATCTTGAATTTGGATGGCATGCCTACTTATTTTATGATAACAAAGTCGACAAAGTATTTAAAAGCCATAGAGACTCTTTGATGAGAGTTTGGAAGAAGCACCGATTCAAATGGGATTATAAAATACCGCTATGGCTGGATCTTGGTCATACTTTGTGGAATACAAATATAATGTCACTCGGGGGGTTTTTATATAAAGAGGTTCTTTTTACAGATGCGGGCAGATGGCAGCTGAAGACACTACAGACACTGTTGGCTGAAGGGATTAATATAACCTGGCTACAATATAACCAATTGCAATTGAGATGGAAAGAGGACCAAAAAACTGGTATTATGTTGCATGAGGAAGAATTGGTTAGACACATAAAAGAGAAAGGTCCAATGCATATTAAAAGGCTTTATAATGTTTTGTTAGAAAGGGATTCAGAAACCAAACTAGTTAAAGATTGTATGATTAAGTGGGCTCAAAATTTTGAAGAACCAGTGATGTTGGAAACATGGGAAAAAAATTGGGTTCAGAACGTTAAATTTACACAGTCGCAGAATTTGGGGGAAAATTTCTATAAAATGTTTTATAGATGGCACTTAGACCCCAAAAAGTTATCATGTATGTACCCTAATGTTCAGCCAAAATGTTGGAGATGTGAATGTTTGGATGCTACGTATTATCATGTTTGGTGGACCTGTAGGAAAGTTAAGGCTTTTTGGATAAAAATTTGGTGGGTCATGCAGAATGTTTTGAAGAAAAAAATTCAATTCTCTCCACAATTGTTTTTATTGGGTATAGTTAAGGGTTTTACATTGGGTGAAACAAAATTGATATTGTATATGATAACAGCAGCAAGATTGTTGATAGGTAAATACTGGAAGAATGAAGCCTTGCCCACTATTGAGGAATGGACTTTGAAGATGGCCAGTTTTGCAGAGATGGCGAAGATTTCAGCATACTTAAAAGATTGTTTACAAGAGACTTATGAATGGGAATGGAAAAAGTGGATAGAATATGTTCAGAACAAATATCAAACTAGGAAGTATCAAATAGCTTTTACTTGAAAATAATGTATTAGAAATTTTTTAATGTAATGAAGATAAAAAGAGAAATTATAAGGGGGAGGGAGGGGTTCAAGTTTTATACAAGTTTTATACTAAGGGGGGTTTTGTATTGGATATGAGTATATTGTGTGGAAGTCTGGGGGGAGGGGAGGGTTAGGGAGGGTTAGGGAGGTTTGGAAGTTTGGGGTGGGTGGTGGGGGGGGAAAAAGGGGAGAAAATGTAATTGTAAAACTTTTGCAATAAAAAAAAAAAAGTTTCATACCCAGACAAAATTCCAGATGGCCTCTACATGTCAGTAAAGGTACATCCAATTCTAACTCTTGGGCGCCATCTAACAACCATTCAAATTCTGCAGTCCAGGTTTGCCTTTCTAGGCCATACAGTGGAAGTCAGCCTTGCTGTTTATATATTTTATTTATATATATAAAAAAAACATTTATAGAACTGCACATGTTTCAAAACAAACTCTGGATGGCAAATAACCAATAAAATGGTCTAAAACAATATAAAGTGGTAGAAAAATCACTAGCAAGAAAAAAATAATAAAATCAGAAAATCTGGTGCTGCAGCCAGCCTTCTTTAATGCACTCTCGTTCTCATCCCATCTCATCTCTTCTGGGGGAAGAGCCAGGTTTTAAGTGCTGTCTGGAAGGATGAAAGGACAGGGACCTATAGGATCCTAGGGGTGACGGGGTCCATAGGACAGGGGCTGCAATCAGAGGTGGGTTTCACATACTGTAGCTACGGGTTTGGCGAGCACCAGAAATGTGAGTGCACGTGCGTGCAACATCAAACAACACGGCAATTCGCACATGCGCGTGCAGTCTGCACATGTTTCAAAAACACAGTGATATAGGATGGGATTGTGCCCGGGAGGGTGGGCGCCCACCGCCCAGCCGCAGGTCGCCACTACCAGTTCACCCAAACCGGTCCAAACCAGTGGTGAAATCCATTTTTTTTTTACTACCGGTTCTGTGGGCGTGGCTTGGTGGGCATGGCAGGGGAAGGTTACTGCAAAATCTCCATTCCCACCCCACTCCAGGGGAAGGATACTGCAAAATCCCCATTCCCACCCCACTCCAGGGGAAGGATATTGCAAAATCTCCATTCACTCTGGGGCCAGCCAGAGGTGGTATTTGCCAGTTCTCTGAACTGCTCAAAATTTCCACTACTGGTTCTCCAGAACCAGTCAGAACCTGCTGGATTTCACCCCTGGTCCAAACCGGCTGAATACCACCTCTGGCTGCAATGGGAAAGACATGCTTCCAAAAGCACACAAGATGACAGTATTTGAGGGAAGGGGCCTGGAGTGGGATGGGCAGGTGTCCCCTACCCTGTGGGATGCACAGGTGAACTCAGGGAGATCATGCCTTGTAAAGCTTGAGAAGTTATAGTCAGAACCCTGATTGGCACCCAAAATAACACATCTTATAGAAAGAAGGCAAAGTGCCTCTGTATTATATGCACAATTGTATGCATGTAAGCTCCTGATTAGCTTGATGGAGCTCAAGGGTGGAGCCAGTGAAGAGATTCTCATCCTCTCCTACATTTTATCTACAAAAAGCAATTTCAGCCCTGAATAATGAAGCTACCGTGAGAGAAGCTCTGAGAGGTTTATTTAAGTGCTAATAAATTATACCATCAAGACTTTTGTTTAAAGGGAATATATATTCTGATCAATAGAGCCAAAGATTGCAGCTCAAATGAACAGGACTTGGAGGCTGAAAGGATGATCTAAAGCAGACTAAACCTTTCTTAGTTCAAGCAGCATAGTATCCTTCAAAAAAGATGAGAGAGATAATGGGGAAAAACATCACACATCACGCAAGGATGGATACGAATCCTATTCTCAAACTGCAAATAGCACAAGGACTGTTGTGTGAATGAAAAACCGTTCTATGTACTTACAGCACATGTAGTAAAAAGAGAAGTCATACCTGAGGGTACAAGGTCTCCAAGTGATTGGCTGCTGTTTGGACAATGCTAATTCCTTCTTCATTTGTGGATACCGAGCAAGCAAGATTAGCCACCTGAACAAGGGCGAAGAAAAACACTGTGAGTAAATTTTAATACAATCACAGAAAACCTTAGATGATCTTTTGTCCTCCGATTGCTTGGGTTATAATCAAAGCCCTTGATATCAGACTGATTTGGTGAGATGCATTTTATTAGGAATAGTCATCATTTAATGACTGCCTTGGTTAGTGGCCATTCAAAGTTAGAACAGCATTGAAAAAAAATAAAGTTAAATTGATCCATGGTGTCCAGGGCTGGGTTCTATTTATCTTTATTATCGGTTTGTAATGGGATCGTGCGCGCGCGCTCACTTCGCTTCTGCACATGCACAGATCGCTTATGATGACATCCGGGGCGGTGGGTGGAGCCTCCCGTCGGTTTTACTCCCGGTTCTTGCAAACCAGTCCAAACCGGGGGCAACCCACCACTAATGGTGTCCCCATTTAAGTGAATTTTAAATAAAGCAGTATTAATTGGGAATGTTACAGGTAATTTCAAAAGACGGCTCCTGTAAGAAAAACCAACAGCCACTTTTTAATTAAGAATCCATTCAAGTTGTCGCAGAAGAACTTGTTATCATGAACAAAGCTCACTGCAGTCTAATAGTGAAATCATCTTATCACAGGATTTGTAATCTGTAAATCTGGATTTATGATTCAGTAGACCCCAGAAACCTTTTATGCTCTTGTTTTGCCTTTCAATTCTTCTTTATGCTGGCAGGTGTAAACACTGTAGAATGTTGTACCTGAACAGGATATCTGTTGTACTGCCAGAGTGAGAAGTGTTGCATGCAAAGACTAGCGAAGAATTATGTTATATTCTGCCAGTATTGTATTGTACTTTCCTTAGGTTGAAAAACCTTTGTCTCAATAAAGACCGTCAACGTCTATTGAATAAAAATCCTTTCAGTTTGTTAAAAACTGTTAAGATAATTTGCTGAAAAGGGTAAAGAAAGAAATGGCAACAGTGAAGAGAATGTGGCAAATGTAATTATAGCTTCAAAACATCTGCAGTTTCACATTGGTAGCATCTTCTCTTATTGTTATAATCGGATTCAATATCGCATGCAAATCCATTCCCCTCTGTCACTAATGATACTATTAGAGACACAATCAAAAAGTAAAATGCTCAATTACTTGCATATGCAACATTTAGAACATACAAATCTAAAATGTATTGTGAGATCATTGACTCATTTAAAAATGTAACCACTGAAAATATTCTTTATTCTAATTGGAAAGTATCTGAAATATTATCAGTCAAATGCAATTAGTTGAATACAACCAAGCAAATACAAGTGCCATCAAGATTATTTAAATGGCAAGCAAAGATATCTGCATGTATTTTAAAGATAAAAAGAAACAAGTAAGTAAGGACATATCATCAAACATGGGGATGTGTAAAATATTTCAGATAGGGAATATTATAGAGAAATGCAAAATATTCTATTTTCCCCCTAAATATTCTTGGAATATCATAAACCACATCCTGTTCTGGAAGATTTCCTTTTAAAAACCTGCAAAAAATATACAAGAGTTTTATTTTAGCTCAGTTACAAACCTAAACTGATTCTCTGAAAGGAACATGCACACATCCAAATGATTCTTCTAGTCAATTATTAGCATCTAAGAATATATAGCCATGATGGCGAACCTATGGCACGCATGCCCAAAGTGGCATGCGAAGCCATGTCACCCGGCACACACGGCCTTGCCTGTTTGTCTTCCAGGTTTCTGGCACGCGACAATCAGCTGTCCTTTGTGCGTGTGGCAGTGCTGAAAACCAATGTGCGCATGGGCACCAGCCAGCTGATTGTCAGATGCGCATGTGTGCCAGAACCTGGAAGTTCAGCTTTTCCGGAGCATGATCGCTTCGCGTGTGCGGCAGTGCCAAAAACCAGCCTGCACATGTGCGCCAGCTGGATGATCGTTGGGCACACATGCGTGCTAGAACCTAGAAGTTCGGCTTTTCCAGAGCGCGGCCCCGACAAGCATGCACACGAAGTTTCCGCACGACCTTTTCGGCACTCGGTGCCAAAAAGGTTCGCCATCACTGATATATAGCATGCATCTCATTCAATTGCTTTTCATAGAACCGGTACTTGGAATGTCGATATAGCAAAAGTGAGTAAACTTGAGTAAAAAATTGTTGGGAGTTAGATCTATCATTTGCTGTCCTGTGAAGGCAAAGAATAACAAAAGTTATATAGAACCTTAAAGGCTGACCATTTTTATTATCACATACAATTTTCATTATTCCATTCACTTCTTCAAATGAAGGGAACAAATTTGTATAAAGAAGATTTTAGAAGTAAATATCAAGGCGGCAATAAGGATGTGAATAGGAGTCAGTGTAAATTGTTGGATCATCCTGAGGAGCAGCAAATAGTAACAATTAGACAGTAGATGTAAATAAAGTAGTAGTATGTACAGTACATTGTCTTGGTCAGATATTTTTCCCTCATAAAGAAAAATGGGGCCCCAAATGTGATGCCTCTCTGCAGATGATACAGGACTGATCTCTCTCTCACACACTCACACACACAAAATGGAAGAAGAATGGACTCAACAAAATTCTAAAAATCAATATGCTGACAAAGAACAAGCTATTATCTCCCCAAAATTTAAAGAATGTATCATATACTGGAAAATCTACTGGTCCAAATAGGAAAGGAGGGATTACAGAGGGTGGTGAGGACAGCACAAAACATTGTGGGCTGTCCTGTGATAACCACTAGACGACATCGCTAGGGCTCGCTGCCTTAGAAGAGTGAGGAAAATCCTCAGGGATGACTCACACCCTGGTCAGCACGTCTTTATTCTCCTTCCTTCAGGAAGGAGATAGAGAAGCATAGGCGGCCGCACAAATAAGCTGAAGAACAGTTTTTAGCTGTGGGCTGTCAGACTCCTGAATGGAAAATAACTCTACAACAACATAGTACGATTGACTTGCGGGGTCGGCACGATGTGCAATAAGTTCACTAGGTGTCATAGGACTGAGTGTTTGTTAGTAGGATTCACTGAGCTAGGGATTTTCTTTTTTCTTTTTTGTCTTTCACTGTGAGTTGTATTGTGTCGGGGGGGGGTGCACGAAGGGAGGCTCAGCCAATCTCATTGTACACATGTTGTACTCTGACAATAAAGGTTTGAACTGAATTGGAAGTCTTTGAGAACAAAAAATATTGGGTGTTTTTTTTTTTAAGGGATAGGAGATTTGATGCCTTCAATGACTTTGACAAGCCACTGCCACTTAACAGTAAACAATGATGGACTGCATAAATACAGTGATTATGGCAGAGTAAGATGGCTTGATCTATTACACAAATTGGGAAGGTCAAAATTTTGTCGCTTTTATAACTTAAAAATTAGAAATCTCATTTATATGGAAATATCCTCTTAACTTGCCACAGACATTCCAAAACGTCATTATTGTATTATTTTTATGCTGCTGTTTTAGATATGCTAGAATTGCATTTGCAATTTTTTAATCTCATTTCTTTATAAAATAACCTTAGAATAGCTTAGAGAATGTTTTAAAATATGAGGCAAAGGAAAGAGCAATTCAAGCATCTGAAAACATGTTCTTATAATACAACAAAGATAAGTAATTAAGTGCCATATGCATAGTAAATCTTCTTCACCATTTTATGGTGTTACTTGAACAAGTCCTAGATTCCTGGGTCAAAATCAAATTTCCAAAAAATACTAGTCAGCGAAGCAATTATTTATCCTGGTTTGTGTTGTGGGGGGGTGGGGAAAAGGAGGAGGAGGAGGAGGAGGAGGAGGAAGAGGAGGAGGAGGAGGAGGAAAAGGAGGAGGAGGAGGAGGAAAAGGAGGAGATTTTGATGATGATCAATAGCTACCTCTAGCTCTGAAGCTACAAGCTATAGTTCATCATTACTCATGTAGGTTACATGCTATTAAGAGTTCCTCTTTCCTTTTGCTAGAAAGGGATTCAGAAACGGAATTAGTTAAAGATTGTATGATTAAGTGGGCACAAAATTTTGAAGAACCAGTGATGTTGGAAACATGGGAAAAAATTTGGGTTCAGAATGTTAAATTTACACAGTCGCAGAATCTGAGGGAAAATTTTTATAAAATGTTTTATAGATGGTATTTAGATCCTAAAAAGTTGTCATGTATGTACCCTAATGTTCAGCCAAAATGTTGGAGATGCGAATGTTTGGATGCTACGTATTATCATGTTTGGTGGACCTGTAGGAAAGTTAAGGCTTTTTGGATAAAAATATGGTGGGTCATGCAGAATGTTTTGAAGAAAAAAATTCAATTTTCTCCACAATTGTTTTTATTGGGTATAGTTAAGGGTTTTACACGGGGTGAAATAAAATTAATATTGTATATGATAACAGCAGCAAGATTGTTGATAGGTAAATATTGGAAGAATGAAGCTTTGCCTACTATCGAGGAATGGACTTTGAAGATGGCCAGTTTTGCAGAGATGGCGAAGATTTCAGCATATTTAAAAGATTGTTCACAAGAGACTTATGAATGGGAATGGAAAAGGTGGATAGAATATGTTCAGAACAAATACCAAACTAGAAAGTACCAAATAGCTTTTATTTGAAAACAATGTATTAGAAATATCTTAATGTAAAGAGATAAAGAGGGAAAATTATATAGGGGGAGGGATGGGTTCAGGTATATATATCAGTATTATTAGTTATGAGTACATAATAGGGAAGTCTGGGGGGGAGGGTTAGGGAGGGTTAGGGAGGACGGGAAGTTTGGGGAGGGAGGTGGGGGGGTGAAAAAAGGGGTGAAAATGTAATTGTAAAACTTTTGCAATAAAAAAAAAAAAAGAGTTCCTCTTTCCCACAGGAGTTTTCCACTGAAGCATTCAGAAAATGTCTCTGTACAAAATATAAGGCATAAGTAGATAAAAACAGGAAGAGATGTTCAATCAGGTCCTGAGCTAAGTAGAGTTTTATAACTCCAAACCAGCACTTTGAATGGGCCCAGAAACCAACTGGAAGTTACAGAGGCAATAATGGGGG